TGCAGGCAGAGCTCCGATCCAGCAGAAGAAATGCTGACATCTATGCCAAGATTGCGCGGAGCATGGGGGAGAAGGGCTACACCAGGGAAACGCAGCAGTACTGCGTGAAAATAAAGGAGCTTCGACAAGCGTACCAGAAGACAAGGGAGATGAACAGTCATTCTGGTTCTTCCCCACAGACATGCTGCTTTTATGAGGAGCTGCACGCGATTCTCAGCAGCGACGCCATCACTACCCCAAAACGCTCCGTGGATACCTCCCAGGAGCCCCACGCGACCTCAAGCAACAACGAGGAGGACATTGTTGACAGAGAAGTGGAGGAGGAGGAGAATGTGAGGCAGGCAAGTGGAGGATCTATTCCCCCTGATGGCCAAGAATGTTTTTAACCCTGGAGCCCATTCCTTCACGGGACCAAATGGCAGAGCATGATACCAGGGAAGGCAACTCTGGTGACTACACATTGCCAATCAAACTGTAGGGGTTACATGCTATTATTTTTTATGTTTAATCTGAACAAAAAAGTAGGTGTAGTGGGTATCGGTGGCCACTCCAGCTATGCAGAGAGTGCTCTCTGAAAAAGACTGTTTGTGTGCAGGGGGATGGCCCGGGAATCCTCCATGGAGATCTCTAGGAAGCTTTCATGGAGGTACTGTACTCTGCAATCCTTTGCAGAAGGTTTCTGGGAAAGGCTGCCTTATTTCATCCACCACGGTAGGACACTTTCCCACGCCACTCCAGTATTAACTCTGCTGGCATCATTGCAGCACACAGCATTGCAGCATAAGGACCAGGTTTGTACCCAGACGATTGCAGCATCTGCTCCCTTGCCACCTCTGTTAACCTCAGGAAAGTGATATCGCATAAGGTCACCGAGGGGAAATGGGGGAAGTTTTCAATGCTAGCCCTTAAGCGCAAACAATTCAACAAGTAATTCACTATCCCTCCTCCCACCCCCTCGGTGAAATCTGGTTCACACAACAATGCTTTCCCAAATGTGCTGTGGTTGTGGTTGGAAGGGATCACCACGTATTGCAAGCAGCATTGGGGGGAAAAAAGGGTGTATGTGGTGGCTTCCTGTTTGTCTCCCTTCCCCCCGGTGTCGCTTTTGTAAAAAACAAACTATTTGGGGAGCTTTACACTGGTGCCTGTCCGCAAGCACCATCCAGGTTACTAAGGGAAAGGAGACTTTTCTCAAGTTCCACCCTGTGATCCCAAGGATGTGTCACAAAAGCAGCTGCACAAGACCTCTCGCCCATTCCTCATGGCCGTACTCACCATGGCTAGAGCAGCAAACCGACTCTTGCAAGAGCTAGCAGTTGTGATTACATTGTGGCTTGCAGTGAAGTGTACTGAGGGGTATTTTTTTAATAAAAAAAATTAACTTTGCACCAGAAACAATGTATGCATTGTCAATACTACCCTTGTGCTTTGCATTCCTTGCAGCTGAAACCTTGTCCATCGGCGCATCCTCCACACCGTGACAAAGACTTTCCCAGATTACAAGGCAGAAAAAGAAGACTTGGGAGGACATGTTCAATGAGTTAATGGGTGCCTCTGAGAGTGACAAGACGGAGCTCAGAGCATGGACGATTACACTGTCTGAGAACCTGGACATGGACAGGGAGGACAGGAGAGCATGCAGGGAACAAGAGTGTGTCACACAGAAAGAGATGCTGCAGATTAAGGAGGAGCAATCAGACATGTTGAGGTTCAAGAAAGGCAGATGGATGCTAGAGTCCCTATGCTGAACTTGCTGCCATCAGCGCCCAGGTCTACATCCTCCTCCCCAAACCGTCCTAGGAGGCGGGAGGGGTGGGGAGTTCGGTATCCATGGCACTCAACACCAGGGGAGGGTACAAGGATCAGAAGGCGCCCATTCCCACACATTTGATTGTTATTGCAGTGCATCTGTAAGCAAGCTTTCCTTGTTTCTCCCCTCACAGTGTTATCAGCCCTTTTGCCCAGGTTATCTTACTTTTCTTAGCTGTCTCTCTGTGTTTGTGTGCATAATAAAACTTAACGGATTGACGAGAAAAAGCTCTTTCTTCATTCAACACACAGTGGTTGGTGGGGGTGGAGTTTACAGGGGAGAAAATGCAATGGATGGGACAGTCTGGTAAGAAACAACATGGATAAGTGTCACATTATTCTGGCTCATTGCTGAAACTGGTTTTCAAAGCCTCATGGAGATGCAAAGCCCCTCGATGTGCTCTTCTTATTGCCCTGGTGTCTGGCTGCTCAAAATTGGCTGCCAGGCAATCTGCCTCAACCCCCACCCCGGCAGAAACTTTTCTCACTTTGTTTCACAGATATTATGGAGCACTTAGCAGGCAGCAATAACAATGGGGATATTGCTTTCACTGAGGTCTAACCTAGTAAGCAAACAACACCAGTGACCTTTAAATGTCCAAAGGCACATTTGATCACCATTCTGCACGTGCTCAGCCTATGGTTGAATCGGTCCTCATCACTGTCCAGGCTGCCTGTGTACGGCTTTATAAGCCATGGGAGTAAGGAGTAGGCTGGATCTCCCAGGATCACGATTGGCATTTCAACATCACCAATAGTTATTTTGCAGTCTGGAAAGAAAGTCTCTGCTTGCAATTTTCTGAACAGATCTGTGTTCCTAAAGATAAGTGCGTCATGCACCTTTCCCGACTATCCCATGTTGAAGTCGGTGAAACCACCCGTGATCCACCAGCTCTTGTAACACCATTGAGAAGTCCCCCTTTCAGCTTATGTACTCTTTGGGAAGGTGGTCTGGTGCCAACGTAGGGATATGCGTTCTGTCTATCACCCCACCACAGTTAGGGAACCCCATCGTGGAAAAACGATCCACTAAATCCTGCATGTTGCCCAGAGTCACTATCTTTCTTAGCAGAAATCTGTTAATGGCCCTGCAAACTTGGATCACAACAGATCACTCGGTAGATTTATCCACTCCAAATTGATGCCCCACTGACTGGTAGCAGTCTGGCATTGCAAGTTTCCACACAGCTATTGCCATTCGCTTCTCCACTGTCAGAGCAACTCTCATTTTAGTATTGCTGCGCTTCAGGGCTGATGAAAGCTCTTCACACAGTTCCTGGAACGTGGCCTTACACAATCGAAAGTTCTGCAGCCACTGCTCGTCTTCCCATAGCTGCAGAACAATGCAGCCCCACCAGTCAGTGCTTGTTTCCTGGGTCCAGAAATGGCACTCAACCCTATCAAGGTGTTGCGTGACTGTCACCAGCAACTGTGAATTGCTCCGCTCTATGTCTTCCAGCAGGGCTGGTTGCGTGGCATCACACTGCTCCGCGTGGCGGCTCCTATATCGGCTATGTAAATACTGCATGATAAGGCGCAAGGTGTTTGTAATGCTCACAACAACAGCGTACAACTGAGCAGGGTCTATGCTTATCGTGCTATGGCATCCGCGCGGGTAACCCAGGCTTGCGAAAAAGGTTTGGTTTGTTTGCCGCTGATTTCAGGGAGGGACGTAAGTGCATCATGGGAGGCTAATGCCATTGTTCCCATAACCAACTGCGCCAATGTTTTGGTATCATGAGGCATTGCAAGCCCAACCCAAAATTCCACTTAGCTATGTGCACTGTTGGATAGCTACCCACAGTGCAGCGCTCCGTGCGTTGATACAAACCCTGCTAGTGAGGATGCACTCCACCGACACAATGAGCGTAGTGCTGACACGCAAGATCAACTTGCTTACATCAGAGGCTCAATGTCAACTTAACTTTGAAGTGTAGACATGGCCTCAGTCCGACTATACTTCTGGAAAATCCTAGTAACACTGATAATCTCTCAAAGACACAAAACTAAAAATTACTTCAATAGTGGTGATAAATGGAAGATATTTAAAGTGTATTTCTACTCTGAAAATAAACTTTATAAAAAGGCCATTGTGAAGTTATGTTTCTATATTTCAGTGGCTTCCATTTAAAAGTAAAAATTGTTTTTTCTAACGGTCAGTCCTGCAGACTCAACCTAGAATCTGAGTCAGGCTTGGGTTTTTTGTTTTTTAAATTACTCATGCATCACATCAGTAATAACAGTTCTGCAAGACAAATTCTGCCCTCAGATGTGTGCAACTCCATTGTCTTCAAATTATATCTGTGCTACTCTACTGAAGACATTCAGAACTGAGGGCAGAATTTGGTTCTGCAACAGGAACTTACTTCTGATGTATGAGCCTAGACAGAGTCCAGTTCACTTGCTCATAATACTGCAGAGCCAGGATTGCCAACTTAAGTCAAATGTAGTAAAAACTTACTTTTGTCACTATAATCAGCTGATGTGAATGAATACACACAGGTACATCAAGGAGTCCAGTGGCACCTTAAAGACTAACAGATTTATTTGGGCATAAGCTTTCGTAGGTAAAAAGCCTCACTTCTTCAGATGCACGAAAGCTTATGCCCAAATAAATCTTAGTCTTTAAGGTGCCACCGGACTCCTTGTTGTTTTTGTGGATACAGACTAACACGGCTACCCCCTGACACTACACACAGGAACCACCTGCTGAGTAAGAAAGTGTTATTTTTACATACTCAGATTTTAGAGTAGAAATGCATTTTAAATGTGAAGGCTGGGTTTTCTACTCATACCCATGATGTCCTTAGTACTGTAATGATACTATCTCTGTTCCAATTGTATTTAAAACAGGACAGAAATCATTGTGAGGCTTGTGCCATTTTATTATTGCTAATGAAAAGCCTTCTGGAATAATTTTGTTTTCCTGTTGAAAGTAGAATTTTATATAGAATAAAAATGCTAACTTGTATAGACTTGTAATATATATTCAAGAAACTAAACAAATGCATTTTCTAGTACTGCTAAATATGGAAAACTTTCTATTCTTTGTATGAAGTTACACAGTAAGAGGCAAGAAACTAGATATATAAAGATAAATATAAAAAAATTCAGTTCTGCTTCTTTTATTCACATTCAATGTCTTTCACTGAAAGTCAAAATACATGGGAACAGGTATAACTTCATTTTACCTCAAGCTGTTCATCTTCTAAAAGTTTTATAACCAACCATCTTATGTCATTGACTGCTTCTTCATTGTTGAGGAAGATAAAGAGGTTATAAAATACCATAGTTTGGAGGTAGGTCAGTATTGTGTACTTAGCATGCCAAGAACTGCTTCTTGCTGTCTGTAAAGCAACAAAGATTAAACAGTTAGAATTAAAAACAAGGGCATGTAGGCAAGCCATTTGATTTACTCTAAATATTGTCATATACCATTACTTAAACCTTTTGTGCTACTGTAGCAAGTTACTCATAAAAGTTGTTTCCCTCCTTACAGTTAGCTTTGTTTTGTTTATGTTCTTTTAGGCTAAATTTCAAAAGCATCTAAATACTTAATATTTGTAGTACTGGATATATAACTGAGAAACTAAATAGATCACTCCTTCTGATTTATTCATGACCTCAGATACCAGCCTTTTCTAAGTGGCCAAAAAGGTTAGTTATGCTCAACTTTGCATTGCAATTGTCTGTATAGTGGACTTTAACTATGAAAAAAATGCTTGTTACTGATAAAAGATGTAAGCAATGGGTGAAAGTTGAACTAGTACCACCACTTTGACTGCATCCATTGCTGACACCCATTTTCAGCAATGGGTGATTTTTCTAGAGTAGATGAAGGTTGAAAGATTCAAGGAAAAAAATCTATTTGCTCAGTTTTTTTTACTTTGTGCATTTGATAGCACTTTGTATACAATCAGTTTCTCCATTTCTCTGTATAGTCTGTTTTCGTTTTCATTTATGTGGGTCTTTCACAAAGTTATAAGTGGGACAGACATACATTTTAGCAGAAAAATACCATTGTAAAACCACAAAAAATAGGAGGGGGACCCAAGAGAACATGCTGCATTCTGAAACTACATTTCAACTTGTTTTTGAGATAGAACAGATTTCCAGTTGATGACGTCTAAGGCTGCGAGTCTGCCACAGAGGTCCCCAGAGCCCTCCCCCAGCACCAGCAGTGCCCCCAGAGTCCCCCAAGATTAAGTCAGGGGTATATAGTACAAGTCATGGACACGTCACGGGGCCGTGAATTTTTGTTTATTGCCCGTGACCAGTCCATGACTTTTACTAAAAATACCCATGACTAAATCTTAGCCTTAACTATGTCCCTTTCAAAGTGACATTTTTATTTTAAGTCGACTTATTACTAAACCCTTACTTATTTTTATTTCTTAAAATAAATTTTACACCCCATCTGGGTCAAATATTTGACAAGTAAAAAAAATAAAACTGGGAACAGAGCTTTTTTGTGATAGTATTCTGTTAAAAACAAAATGTGAAACATTCATAACATTCATGTGTTTTCCCCTTACAGGATTTATACTCATAGGAACCTAAATGTAAATTTCATATTTTTCTGCTTAAGACAACTATACTTTCAAACACTGGGTATAATTTTTAGTGAACAAACAATCCTTTCTTTATAAAGAGTTCAATGCTTTATTAGTATGTATTTCTGCTTGGCAAAAAACAAACAAACAAACAAACAAGGAAGCTGATACAAAAGCCAATTTACAAAGTTAATTCTGTTCCAGATTATTGTTCCTGATGACCAAACACTAACACGGAATTTATTACAAAGCAAAAGCAGTCAGCAGTCTCATTAGTTCTGCCTTTTTGGCTGGTGTACAGCAAATTACTGTACTGCAATCAAGAGTTTAACTAAGTACTTAAACATTCATCATGATTTTGGTGATATGTATGCCACTTCAATATAGAAATGAACGAATAAAGTAGTTATACTGGCAACAGTATCACTATACAGACTCAAAGAATATAAGCAACAAATCATTTCAAAAACCGCAGAAGACCTTTGTACATGTAGCACTGTCAGGAAATAAGAAATACTTTGTTTCATAATTGTTAACTCAAGTTACCTTGTATGAATAACAAGCGCAACAGGTTTTAAAGTGATGTGCATTCATTTAAACAATGTAGATCAGACTCACTTGTTTTAGCACCTGGAGTACCAAAGGCACTTGTTGAGGATATAGCAATCCCTGAGACATTAGTGATAAACACATCTTAGCATCTCTTTTGAGTTCATCATAGCTATTGTCATTTTCTACTGGTGCAATCTACAAAATAAGAAGAAAACAGGAAGAATTAAATATTTGTTGCTAAAAAAAAAAAAATCCTGAAAGAAAAAGAAAAAAGATTAAAACTTCTTTGCATTAAATTAATATGTTATCCAAGGGGGAAAATATTTGTTTTAATAACTCAGTAGTAAAGATTAAAACTGGGTCAGTCATCAAGGGTCCTATTTACTTCAGTGTGTGTCTAGAAAGTTTAAAATTTCTATATTTTAACATGTACAATTTATCTACCTATAAATGCTCAAGTGGTCTAAATTTGTTAAGTAAGGTAAATAAGTGTCTTTAAGGTGTTAGGCAAAAGTTTGAAAAAATGTTTTTAACATTCCAAGGAAGGATATAAAGTAGATGGCTGTTTAACAGAGAGTTTTCCATACCCAACTAAGTTTCTCTTTCATATCCTCTAAGCCAGTCCAGACACTTGGGTATAATTCCGCCCTGCCAGTAGATAATCACACAAGAACTTTTTGTTCAGGTCACCACCGGTATAAGAAGGGTTTGCTAGCCCACAGAGGTCAGCTGTTCCTGTCTCCAGCAGTAGAGAAGTCCTTGGCGGGTTGATAGAGGAAAGATGAGGAAAAATGGACCTGAGACTACAGAACTCTCTCAGTCTGGGTCACCCAGTGTGTGTGGTTTTCCCTTTTAGGCTGTCTGCTGAGAGGTTCAACATGTCCTACTCCCACCTCTGGGAACTCAAACTCCTCAGATACCAGGCTGTTTCCCTCAGAGGCTCTCTCCTTTTCCTTTGTACAAGGTTTGGAATGAAAATAATGGCTGAATTTGAAAACTGCTGGTTGCAGTACCATTGGCTAAACAACAGATGCACTAATAATTCATTTGATTGAGAAAAGATGACAATGTTTTAAAGGTTGTTCTTACATGTGGAGGATATCTTTCACTGAAGATCTCTGACACAGAAGAAGTTATTCATCTTACGCAGTAACGATGATTCTTCGAGATGTGTGTCCTTATGGGTGCTCCACTGTAGGTGTGTCTGTGTCCCTGCATTGCTGATTGGAGAACTTTGGTTGCAGTATCCATTGGGTGTGCTGCGCCACGAGCTAGCCAGCATGTGGGGGGTAACTGTCCTCAGTTCCTTCTTTACCATGGAGTCATAACGAGAACTCCGAAGCAGAGGGGAGAAGGGCGGGTTGTGGAGCACCCATAGGGACACACATCTTCAAAGAACCATCATTATTGCACCAGGTGAGTAACTTCTTCAAGTAGTGTCCCTATGGGTGCTCCAGTGCAGGTGACTCCTGAGCAGTACCCCTTTTCGAGGGCTGGGACTTCAGAGTGGGGTCAGTTAGAGATGACAAGTACTGTGGAGCCAAACATGGCATCAGAGGCAGAATCCAAAGTGATTGCATAGTGTTCTGCAAGGTGTGGCCTGACGTCCATGTCTCCGCTCTGCAGATTTCTGAGACAGGGACATCCTTGAAAAAAGCAACAAATGAGGAGATCGATCTTGTGGAATATGTCCGGATCAAGTGAGTGAGTGAGTGTGTGTGTGTCAGTCACATTACGAATTTGGTAGCACTGTCTGATGCAATTCGAGACCCACTTACAGAGTCTTTGGGCTGATCCTGTTGAGCTCTTGGATCTTTCCACCACAGAGAGGAAAAGTCATGGGGATTTCCTGAAGGCTTTGTAGAATGCTAGAGCTCTCCTAACATCTAAGGTATGTAGTATAGCCTCCCTTATTGTCTTGGTGAGGCTTGCAGTAGACGATTGTAAGGTGGATTGACTGATTCATGTGAAAAGGGGAGGTTACCTTAGGGATGAATTTTGGATGTGGCCTGAGTGTAACCTTGTCTGGAAAGAATACTGTGTAGGGGGGATGCGCCATCAAAGCTGCTATCTCCCTTATTCTTCTAATTGAGGTAACTGCTATCAGGAAGGCTGTTTTCACTGATAGGTACATTAGCGAACAGGTGGCTGTGACGGGTTCGATCACAGAAACCCCCTTGGGACTGTCACCTGATATGCTGAGACTACCTCTGAGCCCATTTTCTCTGCCAGTTTGGGCCTCCAGAACCCTGCCTTGTTGAGCCAGACACGCCAGTCTGCTCCAACACAGACCCAGGGTCTGAACCACACGCCCCAAAGGTGCAGACTTAATTGAAAACAGCTTAAGAAGTGCTCCTGTCTCCAGCACCCGGACCCCCAGCTCCCAATGGGATCCAAACCCCAAATGAATCTGTTTTACTGTGTATAAAGCTTATACAGCGTAAACTCAAATTGTCCGCCCTCTATAACACTGATAGCGAGATATGCACAGCTGTTTGCTCCCCCAGGTATTAATTACTTACTCTGGGTTAATTAATAAGCAAAAGTGATTTTATTAAGCATAAAAAGTAGGATTTAAGTGGTTCCAAGTAATACAGACAGAACAAAGTAAGTTACCAAGCAAAATAAAACGAAACATGTAAGTCTAAGCCTAATACATTAAAAAACTGATTACAGATAAAATCTCACCCTCAGAGATGTTCCAATAAGCTTCTTTAACAGACTGGACTCCTTCCTAGTCTGGGCCCAATCCTTTCCCCGGTACAGTTCTTGTTAGCTCCAGCTCAGGTGGTAACTAGGGAATTTCTCATGACTTGAACCTCCTTTGTTGTGTTCCACCCCTTTATATAGCTTTGGCACAAGTCGGGAATCTTTTGTCTCTCTCGGTCCCCACCCCTCCTTCTAAATGGAAAAGCACCAGCTTTAAGATGGATTCCAGTACCAGGTGACATGGTCACATGTCCTGAGAGATCCCAAGCCTTCATTGCTCCTGGCCTGACTCACAGGAAGGCTTGCAAGTAAACAGAGCCATTTACAACCAATTGTCCTAGTTGATAGGAGCCATCAAGATTCCAAACCACCATTAATGGCCCACACTTTGCATAATTACAATAGGACCTCAGAGTTATATTTCATATTTGTAGTTTCAGATACAAGAATGATACATTTATACAAATAGGATGATAACATTCAGCAGATTATAAGCTTTGTAATGGATACCTCACAAGAGACTTTTTGCATGAAGTCTATTCTAGTTACATTATATTCACACACATTAGCATATTTTCATAAAATCATATGGAGTGCAACGTCACAGTGGCTATGGGTTCAAAGGGGGGCCTAGTCAGCCCTTTCAGTACCAGGTTTAGGTCCCAAGAGGGGGTAGGAATCGAGATTGAGGGAAGAAGATTATTATACCCTTAAGGAACCTTTTAGTGGTTGGGTGCAATTGGGTACCCTTCTATGGGTTGTTGAAAAGCTGTGACAGCTGCTAGATGGACCCTAAGAAAGCTTAGGGACAATACTGACTTTAAGGGTCATGTGGAGGACTTTCTACTGTGTATTAGAACCTCTTGTACTTCCTTTGAGCATCAACTTTCTAGATGCTGGAACCATGCAGGAGCCATGCTTTGAGGCAGAGAATCCCAAAGTAGAGATGTAGGGTACACCCTTTATTTTGCGAGAGGAGATGTAAAATGTTTGGAAGGGAGATTGGAAGGCACATCGTGAGCTGTGTTAGGTAAGGTACCAGGTCTGTCTTAGCCAAGTAGGAGTAATCAGGAACATGAGCTTAGTCCCTTTGGCAGTAGATGAAATAGAGGAAAGGCATAAAGAAGGTCCTTGTCCCGGGGACAAGGGCATCACCCAGAGAGTGCTGGTCCTTGAGCAGTAGTGTGGCCACTTCTTGTTCAAGCTCTGTGGATGGTGTACCCCATCATGTGAAAAAGTGATTGAGTACTGATGGGTGCATCTCCCACTTGTGATCGTGCATGAATTTGCAACTGAAGTCGTCCGCTATTGAGTTCTGTGTGCCCAGGAGGGAAGCCGTGGACAAGGTGATGTTGTGAGAGATGCACAAATTCCATAATTTCATTGCTTCTGTGCATAGGGAGGGAGACCTGGCCCCTCCCTGGCAAATGTAGTACATGCAGGCTATGTTGTCTATTAGGATCTTTGTATGTGATCCTGCTATCAGCGAGAGGAAATAGGTGAAGGCATTCCTGACCGCTCTCAGTTTGAGGTGACAGATGTGTAGAGATCTCTCCACAGGTGACCATTAGCTGAGTGATGCATTGATGGTAAGGAGCGATGATGGTGACCTCTGTGTGACGGGGATTCCTTCGCATACATTGGCTAGGTTCTTCTACCAGTCCAAGGAGTTTTTGATCATGGTAGGTAGTGACAGGGGCTTGTCCAGACTGTCTTTGTTCAGCCTGTAAACTGAACTGAACCATAGCTGGAGGCATTGCATGTGGAGTCTGGCATACAGTATCACAACCGTGCCCACTGCCATATGCCCCAACAGTTGGAGGCAGAGTCTGGCTGGAACTGGAGGACTGCATTGAGTTGTGTCTATGAGTGAGACCAGGGATAGGAACCTGTGTTGAAGTAGGAAGGTTGGCCTGTAGAGCATCCAGGTCGATCCCCATGAATTCCAGGTGTTGCACTGGTGTGAGGGTCAACTTCTGGGTGTTGATCTGAAAGCCCAGTTCTGTAAACAAATGTATAGTGGTGTTGATGGCTCAACGAGCCTCCTGGAGCGATCGGGCTCTGAGGAGACAATCGTCCAGGTAAGGGTATATCATTATCCCTTGTGAACATACATGAGCGGCTACCATTGAGAGAACTTAGAAAACAGGGACCGATGAGAGTCTGAAGGGGAGGACTCTGTATTGGTAATGGGGTATCCCAGAGTGAATCTGAGAAATCGTCTGTGAGACAGTACTATTGAAATGTGAAAGTAGACGTCCTGTAGGTGAAGTCCTGAAAACCAGTCTCCCTGTTCCAGAGATGGAATGATCGTCGATAAGGTGACCATCTTGAACTTCTGAGCTTTGACAGACTTGTTGAGAGCTCTGAGGTCCAGTATGGGTCTCCAACCTCCCTCCCTTTGGGGTATTAGGAAGTAACAAGAATAGAACCCCTTGCCTTGTAGATGTGAGGAACTGGTTCTATAGCTCCTAACTGGAGGAGTC